CGTAGTCCTTCAACGAAGTAGACGCCAGTTTGATCATACATCCATCTGAATACACGATACATGTGCTAGAGACAGTACTGCTGGAACTGGGCTTACCAAAAGATGACCCAAAATCGAAGTCCTACAATTGTCCTATACATTTGAAACGGTTTGTATGAGTTGTAGTAGAGTAGCTCTTTATTGTTTGGCTTCTAAGTTTGGAGGTTAGGTTTAGTCTCTAATATCAACTAATGACCTATAAATTCCATGTTTTGCAAGCCTAGGGAGAGTTAGGTTTTCATCTTGTTACAAAAGTGGGGAAGTGTGGTTTTCATCGAAGTTAGACTAAAATGAAATTGATTTTTGCTTTAAAAGCCACAAATTTGGCTTTGCTAAACTGCTACTGTACAAAATGTAGTTATTCTTGTATTTTTTTTTTTTTTTTTTTTTTTGTTTGTTTTGTTTTGTAACAAATTTCTTTAATTGGTTTTTTGCAAATACGCGACGTCCAGACCGTCTCTTCCGACATGTGGGATTTCTTCCGACTTAGGAGTGTTCTGAATACAATTATCTCATCACCCTCGTATCCAAAACCGGTATGGAATTATAAGCGATCATGAGCTATTAATTTATTATTAAAGAAACCTCAACCTTACCGATCCAAACGGAGGTAGATTGCCGGAATAGCTGCCTTTGGGCAAATAACCGAAAAACCGGGTATCGTAAGAAATCGCGAAACTAACTGATGAATGTTTAATAGTGCAACAAAAACAACAAAAGCACCAAATATAGTTTCTAAAATGTCGAGTCAAAAGTATAACTTCAAATAAGAAAAGAAAAGTGTTAGCTAGCGGCAGAAAACATTCCTGCAGCGTTTTCGTGGCATGATACCGAGTTCACACTCCTTGGTCGGATAAAAGTCCGTGTTCGTTACGGTTACTTAGAACCGACTGTCGTGGGAACGAAAACTGAGTGTCGTAAATCCGCTCTGTGTCGTATTCGGATTAAACCGTTAGGCTTGAGCTTATATTATAAGTTACATCCCTACTTATTCGTCCTTTCTTCGTATTTCCAGCGATTACATCAATGAAATGCGCTATTTCGCCTATCACAATGCCGGACTGCATGCGATAACCATTAATTTCATCTCGGAACTGCAGCGTTTCGTAGAAAGCGATGGTAAGTAAACAAGTCACACGTACCAAAAACGTAATTGCATTGATGAATCCTCATCTACACTCTCTCCACAGTCGACTCCGACATCAGTCCACTCTCCATCGCCTCGAATGCCGAATATATCGTATGCACTAAAATCGACGCCAGCGAACGCATTAATGCCGTACTCGGCTTTGTACTACTCCAAATGCCTTCGGGCGTTATTGTACTACTCGGCAGCGGTGAAGTTATCAGCTTGAAACTAATCATCGATCCGAAAATACTGGTGGAAACAGTGAAAATTAAAGAGGAAACCGATAAATCATTGTTAAAATTGGAAGCCAAGTCTGAATTGGATCGCATGTTGGAGCCCTCCTTTGTGGATCACATCAAAAGCATGCTTAAGCGTGATGTCACACAACCCATACTCTCGGTGGACAAAACAAACACACCAAATCCGCAAGAATGCTATGAGCTGCTCGCACAAGCCATTGAAGTTCTGCGCACACAGTATTTGAAGCGACACGAATTGGTGCGCGCTGAAATCACAAAGCGTGTGAACACCATTAAGTTGCGTAAAGCGCAGCAGGAGCACGAGATTGCCGATTTGGAGAAGGAGCGTGAGAATATACGCGAGACAGCGCATCGACTGGCTGAACGTTTTGAGGAGATCAGCGATCAGCAGGAGATCATAACGAAGAAGTAAGCAAATGTGAATTATTTTGGTTCATTTTATAATTATTGTTTGCGTTTTAGATGCCAGCATCTTGTGCGGCAGGCACATACCCGTCTACCCACCAATCCAATTGCTGATAAGGAATTCGCCCAGGAGGTGGAACGCATCAATAAGGAGACCAAAGCCTTGACGAATTCTATGCAGAAGGCGCGCGATACCATCAACAAGCAAACTTATCATGTAATTATTATTAATATTTTATATTTTTATTTCAAAAGTATTACGGAAATTTTAATAACCTTTTTGTTTTTCTTTCAGATCTCCAAGTATAATCAAACCGCTAAGAAAAAGTCCTTTCATTTGCCAGAACGTCAAGAGAAGAACATTAAGGAGATACTTATGCAGATGTAAGTCAAAATAGCTCAATATAAATTTGTCCGTATTAGGTTAGAGTTACATAGTTAAACGTATTAGCATTGTTTTGACATAAACTGTACTTGTTCGGATGTAGATCTGGAAACGAGTCAATTATGTAAACCCGATCGTTGTATGTAAGAAGTCTTGCTATACAATTTTTGGCCATTCCTGATAGTTACAAATATTTGTTGTAAGAATAGAGCTGTGGTAGTAGTCCTGAGTTGGTCACGAATTCATCAGCCTTTAGTAGTCCGAGTAGGTACTAGTTGTAAAGAAGTGCATTATCTTGCTAACCAGAAGCACTCAGGGCTCAGTGTGTATATATTCGACAATACACATCAACAGATCTCCCTTGTTTGTATGGAGTGCAGTGTTCTCGCACTAAAGCCGAAGCTGCTTCATCCAGGTGCCCATACCTGTGCTGCGTAATTTATCACCGTCCTGTCAATTAACTTGTAATTGCGTTCGTATTGTGAATGAAAGGATGCATGCTGAAATCTTTGGCTTATTGATGGTCACAATTTTAAAGAGCGCTACATTGAAATCCAATCTGTACTTTTCCGCTTAACTTAAAAGTTTGGCCTCGAAGTAGTACGAAGGGTTGCGGACCACTCAAATAATTCATGGTTCACCTCTTCAACCCTGGAGAGAACGTTGATTGTTCGATGTCTTCTAATAGCGTCGTGTGATTGACTGTTTTTGTTTAACTATGAGCTCTTCTTTAAAAATCATACATGCTACAATTCCATCTGTCAGCAAGTGCTAATGTGGATCCGATAAATGGAAATCACAAATCTTCTTGTATGAAAGCTAGAGCAGTCAGCTAGGTAGTGAATTTTTAACATGTGATAAAATCTTATTTAAATATAAACAAAATTTTAGCGTTTAACTGTCATGTTTTTTCGGTTTGAAGCACTCTGTTATTTTTCGTTTTTCGTAGCCTAAACACACACCTTACATTTGAAATTGGCAAATCTTAAATAAGCTGCCGTAGTTTTCTACACCCTGTGTTGTGTGTACAGTACGCATAAAAATATTTTGTGTAATAAGATATTGTGTGTAACAGTAAATTTCGATTATTTATTACAATTTTAAAATATATTAAAATTTTTTTAATAAAATAATTAAGAAATAATATTATTTACATTTGTTTATTAATATATCTCTCTGTTTTCATTGCTCTTGTTCTACAGTGCCGCCGAAGTCGACTCCCAAATCCGTGATGTCAAGCATATCAACCAACAGCTTGGTGTTTAATAAAATTCAACGAATTTTTATAACACTTACTACAATAATATATAATTTTAATGGTTGAATATTAAGCCAATTAGTTTAGTTTTCCAGCGCCAAAATGACAAAACAATAACATTTGTTCTGTTTCATTTTGCTTTTTGTTTATTGATTTTTATCCATACATATTACATTCTAATGATATAATTTAAAATAAAATGCTCAAAATTATCAAGTGCATAGAAAAATCAATTGTTGTTTACAGTTAAATGCATTCAAAGCCCATTAGTATTAACTCATACTCAGCATTGTGATCGGTGGTTGAATGTGGAACGAAGAATATTTTTTCGCAAAGTTCACAACAAATTTTTAAAAATTACGGAGAAGTTGGTTATAATAAATATTTTTTCTTTTTAATTAAACGAAACCATTAACGTCAAGAGTAACCTAAAACTTGAACCCAAGCAATTGAATTTTTCGAATTTTGACAATAAGCTAAATATTTGACTCGCAACACATGTATAGTATATTTAGACTCAGGCACGTCTTCACTTTGTTAACGCTTTGAGGTTTTTCGCCTAAGAGCTCAGCAGTTAGATTTTTGCAGACCAAACCAGAACCGCAGCAAATTAAGGTAGCGGTCGGCAGTTAATTTTGAAATGAAATGTGCTGCTTTTAATTAAATTTTAATTTCCAGCGCTTGAAACACTCCCCACTTTTTTTAATTTTGCTGCCGCGAAGCCATCACTCAACCATTTAATGGAAGTTTGCTGGCCGCAAACTTTGTGAAAGTTCCAGTGTTTCAACTTCAATTCAACGTCACTTGTATCCTACATAAAAAAGAATTACAAAAATGTTCAGGAACACTGTCATGTTAGCAGTACTTGTCAGCCTTTGGTACGGAGACATCATGCAACTACCCAGACTGGTGTAGACACGGGTGAGTACTCTAAGGAACCTCGTTTTTACTGCGGACTGCTCCTGAAACTTATTAATCGGTAGTGTAAACGAAGTTTCATAAAAAGTGTTGCAGGCTTTACTTCAATCTAAAAAATCCAGATGTCAAATTTCAGCTAGTTCCCGCACCAGTCAGTTCAAAAAATTATTAAAAAAAATATATTGATAATAATTCTACTAAAATTATTATTCAAGAGTTCTATTGAGGCGCCAATTAGCAGAATGAGATATGGATCGAAAGCTTCGGCAGAAAAATAACATTTATCATATATGTAGGCCTTCCTGTACTCACCATTCCCACGTCATTCGTTTCTAAATAACGGGAAGGGATGGGGGATTTTTATCCGGCCAAAGACTGTCATCCCGGCACCCTGCCTCGAAATTACTTAAGCCATTTTTTCTGACACTACAACAACAAGCTTGCTATACTCGCAGTTTGTTTTTTTTTTTTTTTTTAATAAAACGCATGATGTTAGTGTTTTTTAATTTTTAATTTCGTTTTCTTCTTTTTTTCCTTCTCTTTTTCGCTTTCTTACGTGATTCATTAAATTGTCTTATATGATATACAATAAACTGCTTAAAATCGCCACGTTCGTACGAACGCAACGTTACCGCTATAAAAATAAATGTATTAACATAAAATAATAGTCTTAGCAAAGGGTTTCCTCCATAGATGTCGTCGTTGAAAATACCAAATTGCTCCGAGACACTTTGCATGCAGAGTATGTAGAGTATATATTGCGCGCGATGTAGATCGTGAAATTTGCCGCGCGCCAACAACTCCAACACAGCGGTGTACGCATGTTCAACAAGTCAATGATCGATCAATGGACCCCAGAACATTTTCGATATTTTCGTCTCGTCTTCGGTTAGGAAATATTGACGTCCCAAATGTAGAAACTCTTTTAAGGACAATTGGCCATCGCCATTTTTGTCTATCACAGCAAAAGAAATAGCAGCATCTTCATCCGAAAGACCCAGACAGCGGAAGAACAGCTTATACTGTTCGAGATCCAAATGGCCAGTGTGATCATAATCAACGGCCTGCAAGTAAAAAACAACCGAATACAGGCATTACTTAACTGTAATAAAATATGAATTAGTAACAAAGTAATTACCTTGAATAAATAGGGTAAAAAGCGTCCAATGCGCTTCTCCAACTGTTCGTCGTTGAGACGATGATGCACCTCCACCAAGAACTGCTCGGCAGTCACTAAATTATATGGCGTAATTTCGCCGAATTGCTCCACCCATGTTTGACGCATGACCTCCTCGAACTCGGCCGACATCTCGGGCGTGAGATGACCCAAGTCCGTAAAGCGTTTGGCAAGCAATTTGTAGTCGTCAAATGACACAACGCCATCGCGATTGACGTCGAGTATGCGGTGGAGCGTGCGCATTTTGCGACGCCAGAACTCAGAATCGCCCTGTAATGAGAGAAGAGAGAGATGGAAAATTAAAAACTTGCTTTTTGGCATAAAATATATCAATAATAATCTTATTTCTAGAATTTTGATAGTTACAGTAATACTTATTTCATAAAAAAAAATTAAAAAGCAAAATTAAAGGAAAAACTGACACAATTTTATAGATATATT